TTTCCTTGTGGTAACAACTGTAAATAGAATGAGGGCTGGTGGCTGTCACAGACAGTCCCAGAAGGAAAAAAAGCAGAGCATAACAAGAGCTGCTCTCATGCAACACACCAAAGAGGGAACTTTTGCACATAAATAAAAGAACATTTTATTTTTAAACATCTAGTCCAAATGTCAGGGTATAAAGCTCAAATTCAACAAGTGATGCAAACATCTAGCTTCTTAATGAAAAACATGAGAGCAACCTAATCCCTGAGGCTGTATGGAAAAAACACTGCATGACAGAAGCGTGTTCTGTTATACGAAAAATCAATTCTGCCATGCTCTTTTTGCACCTGACCAGTCCTGCTCAGTACAGCCTCACTGAAAAGTCCAAAGTCTCTCCTACAGTGTAGCAGACCAGTAATTGCTCTACAAGGCCACTACCAGAGTTGCTCTCCTCTCCAGAGCCCCGAACTTCTCTGCTTGAAACTCCACCTCTTCCAAGTCCCAAAATCTCTATTCTAACCCATGCCCCTTTGTACCTCTCCCTGTAGCCTCACACAAGGAACAAGTGGCTCATAAGTAATTTCCTAGAAATATTAAAGCTTTATTGCAGACTTCATGGCACTGTCACTCAGTACAAAGCAAATGGGTTTGGTGCAGACTGCACAGAGGAGAAGGAAAATCTAATTCATATAGTTCTGGCTGGCAGCAAATAACCTCTGTGTAAACTCTAAGTGTCATTGTAGACATCGCAACAATGAGGTTTGTCTTCACAGAGTGAAAACCCAAAGTAACCACTCTGGCAGAGATTAATTATCTTTAGTTCAACACACTGCTTGGGAATGAGTACAGCATATGGAAGGAATGGAAGACCAAATGGCTCAGGTAAATGGCTCAGGAGACCCAGTGAGGTCTCCATTGCCACACAAGCCCTTTTCAGTGGGTAAGAAAACCATGCTTTTAGCTATTAAAAGAGGCAGGTCACACATTGCAACTCCATTTTTTCCTGAATAGAAGGGGATCCTCATTGTAACTATTGGCTTTGAGGAAGGAAGTCAATCTCTCCTATCTCTTGTGTTACCCTGCCTGTCCAGGGACCAGTAGAGTCCTGGGCTGCCTAATGGCAATCATAAAAGCTGTGGTGGCGCCCATTTGTTTGCCAGCTGCTGTTCCATGCTGGAGACAAATATAGGAGCAGTCTGTGTTGGCTTCCCACAGAGGCTTGAATAAATTTCAAATGTTTCCAGTATTACAGCAGGAGAGATAGGGAGAGAAGTTTCCCCATGCCTTAGTCTAGACACTTCCATTCCCAGAAAGAAAGTAATCAGCTGTCCGTTTTTCCTATTTAGTTGTGTTTTGTTAATGTAGCATGGGAGGACAAAGGTGAATAAGGAACAATCTTTGATCAAAGATAACACTTTCAAATTAAATTCCTTCAAAAAATGCAGAACTTTGAGTCAAGTCACCTGAAGCTAGAAATACACATTACCACTGCCTCCTTTCTATGCAATACATTTGACTGAGAGGATGCAGCTGCTAGATGATTTTTTCCTATCATTTGCCCCTTTTTTCCTCATCTTTTTCTATGAATGAGTGTTTTCTTCTGTGGGCCTGCAACCAGGAAGGACTTTTTTGGGAAAGGAATGCAAATCCAATTGCCTGTTCACAGGTAAGCACAAAATACAGTCCTTACCTGAACAGAATGAGTCTTAAATGAATGGTAATCTGAACTAAGATCCAGGTCACTGTTCTAATGTGTTTCTTCTGTAGGCTGTCAGTAAAGGAGTTCGTGTGTTGCCAAATACAGATCTTTTAAAATTTAATGCTCATAGAAAAGATTAAAAATTATTCTCAGAAATGAGAAACTATTCTTACCACCAGAAACTGTTATCGTTTGATTGTTATCGTTTGAGTTTGGTAGCCAAATTCTACAGTAAATAAACAAGATAAATTAAGCTGAAGTCTTTCACCTTCAGAGGAGAGCACACTGTTGACTGCAGCATACTGCATGAAAGATAACAAATGAACCAATACCTACCCTGACCTTTTGCTTAGACCTTTCCTGGAAGATAATGGCAGGAGAGACAATAAAAGGCTAACATAGTTGATTACCAATTGCCAAGAAATGTCTGGTCAGTAGGTCATGACACAGACTTTTTTCCTCTCTGTCTAGCAATTAAATATCCCTGGCATATTCTTCTGTGACACTAGTGGAGTGTTTACTCATAGAGTGTGCAGTACTCAGGTATCTGGGGAGTTTCACGTGGTACTGAGAGCTAAGAAAATACATACACATACAGGATATATTTTCTGACCAAAAAACCCTATATTTCCTCACCTGAATACACTCTACATTCCTTATATCATTCTTATGAATGTAATTTCAAAATGCTTTTAAAATGGTGCAGCCTTTATTCCAGTAGATCATTTACTTAAACACTGATACTAAATTGAGTAAACAGTAGACTGTGCAGGAGATTAGCATTAGTCCATAATACAGAGAAAAATGTTCATATGTAAAATAAAGGATCATCCAATATTAGGATCTTTCACAGGCTTTCCTACTGGTGAGCAGAGTATCTGATCAGCAGGTTAATTTTCTTGTATAAATACCCAAAAAGGAAGCTATATCCTCTAAAATTCAGTCCTAATAAAGCATTTTAAATACCCCTACCACTGCTAAAAGTAGAGATCTCTGTCTCTTCACTCCTTAATACACTGCATACTGCTACCATCACTACAGGAATGTCCCCATGTTTTGCCAATGCAAAACACATAGTTACCACTTTGGGACATAAAAGCATAGCAACTTTTCTAACAACTGCAAGGGGACTATAAGAGCTCATCTAATGATGCTGTCATCATGACTAACACTCCTCCTCTGCATCTGCATTACAAAAATTATTTAGAAGAAGTACTGAATGTATATATTGTTTGCCTTTGTATTTTAAAAGTGGGATTTTTTGCATTATTTTCATAGGGTTTTCCTATGTTCCTTAGATCCAGAGATTTTTCTGTGCTGGCCCTATTGGTGGAAAAGCTCAGCATTATGACAGAGCCAGTTCAGACCAGAGGTTGTCAGTGTCCAGCCTCAAAGCCACCTCTGACCAAGGGCAGAGAGTAGTATTTGATGTGAAGCACTTGACAAAGAGCCAAAGAATGAACTCATTCCCGTCAGGATCCTGAAGTCCAACTATTTTGACCCAGACAGTCAGTACTGACAAGGGCCTGCCTGATGCAGGTGCTACTGCGCTTAGTAAGGACACAGAATCAGAGAATGTGTCCGGTTGGAAGAGACCATAGCGGGTCATCTGGTTTGACCTCCCTGCTCGCTTACATTGTACAGCCTCCTGCAGTTAACTTTTCATTCTCCATCTAACTGGTGGTGCTTTATGATACTTGGCATCATGGTGTGACTTTCTGCTACTCTCCCTACATGAGGAAGAACCCACAGAGTCGAGGGCATGTCCATACCTGTCCATTGTATGCACATGTGCCTTCCTGAACCTTTGCACGTGTTTCTGTGTTCAGAAAGTGGGATTCCATACTCTGGAAGAAGAATATGGTGGACAAATGCATCACACAGGAGCAGGCTGAAACTCTCTGAACACATCAACACACTAAGAAAAGGTCTGATCCAGCCCTCCCAATGTGTCTCTTACCACAGTCATCACTACCCCACAGTCATAGCCTTTTCTAGCAAGATTACATCAGGAAGATTAGCTTGGTAAGATGGGAAGTGAGGGGAAGGGGCAGGAAAAGCAGATCCCCTGTTCAAACAGAGTGCCAAAACCTTCAGCTGTATTTTCAGCTTGTCAACTTGGCTGAAAATAACTTTGCACATATTCTGAAAACTATGAAGGGAGATCTTCCCACATTGCATGAATAGTTGGCTGCACTTAAATAATTGAAAGAAACGGGACTGAAATCTTTCATATACAAAGGATGAGGGTAAATATCACCTGAGGAAGGAAGAAATATAAGGTCTAACCAAAAGGCTATACTAAATATACAGTCGGAAAGACTGCATTTTCAGTTTCTAAAATTTGTCAATCTTGTCCTGTTTTTGAAGTGACCCTTGGACTCTACAAAATAAGCAGAGATTTATTAGTAAGAACAGCTAAACCAAATTATGAATGATTCTGTGAACCCAGGGGGAGGCTCTGCCTCCCATTCTATCCAACTCCTAGCGCACAAGAAATATGATTTTTTCTGATCTGGAGGTCTGGAGCTTCCTAAAGGTTCATTCACCCTCCAGTTGTTGACCCAAAGAGACATTCTGTGTAGGAAATTTATCAGAAGGAGTTGGATGTTTTGAAAATTCTAATCCTTGAAACTATTTTTTGTGCTTTGACCTCTCCTGTTACAGTGTCTAGTGTTTTTTCCACAGCTCACTATGTTGATCTTGCAAAGATTTTCCTCCCATTATTGATTTGGGCCATTTTTCCATAATGTCCTAGAAACTATAGACTGAAGCCACTTGAAGATTGTCATTGTCTCCGTAGTCTTTCTCTCTCAGCTAAACATTTTGAAAAGATTGATTTTCCTGTAAACAAATTTCCCATCTTATTTTTATTGTGGACTTCAACACATGTCTTTTGAAAGCTGCCTCTGGTTTGCCACTGCTTAGGTTTCTTCATGAAAACAAACTCACATCCACTAAAAGGGTTCACTATAATTAATATACATGGAAATTTCCACTCAGATGTAGTGACTTATCAGTGGCATAGGTCATGAGGAGCAATTTGTGTCCTTGCTGTCCTTCTACTTCCTTCTGTTATGTTGGGGGTTTTTTATGCCTAACAAATTCACATCAGGATTTCAGTGTTTTCACTCATATGTTCACACCTACTGTTCAGTGAATCAAATGCTGCATTTATAGACACTTTAAAAGCACAGCTCAAGCCTCTCCAACACTGATGCAGAGCTCATAATACTTAGTTTCAGAAATGCAAAAATCAATATGTCAGGACTTTCAGTCATATTACTCCTTTATTAGAGTAGTTTTTGATATTTCAAGCACCACCTTCTTAATTGTGATAATTGTCACACAAAACAGCAAGAAATACTTTTCCAATTTAATTTTCACAAAGAAAATTACATTTGACTGTCACACCTACCAACACTAGTTTTCCATATTTTGTAAATATAAGATCAGCACATGTCAGATAAGTGTAAAAAGCATACCGTAAAACTGTGGCAGGAACCAGGATGAGTTCTTTATGTAAATGAGGGGGACAAAAAAAGCAAGCACCAGTTTTTGCTTGCTTCTGGTGTTTTTTGGTAAGGTGGCAAACAGGAAGAGAGTCTGCTTTCACAGAGCTTTTATTCTCCTGTCAGTTTTTATGTGAGGATAGTGCCTGCTTCCTAAAATCCACAGAGATTTTGTAGCAAACTGGAGGATATTTTTATACATTCTAATGAAATTTAGCACTTAACAAAAAGTAATCATTCCATCACTGAAATCTTCCCAGTAGGCTTGCAAATAGTATTATCCCAATGGCACATATGGCAGAAGGATGACACACTAAATTTCCAATAGTGATTTCTTAGAACTGGGGCTGACAGGGACTAACTTCAGTGTTCAGGTGTTAACCCTCCAAAATATTTCTATTTTTCCTCCCTACAGGAGCTTGTTTTGAGTGTTCAAAATTTATGACAATCAGGTGGAGGAATGCAGGAAGCAAATTAAGGGCTGAAAAGATTTTAGGTGGCTATTCTCAGGGCACAGTGTAGACATAGAGCCTAACAGCAGATCCTAGCCACTGGACTATGCTTATTCTTCGCAAAAATCTGCAGAAGGAAAGGACCGAGAAATTGACTTTATCTTCAGGTAAATGAAGTGCCAGCCTTCTTCATGGTAGTTACTTTGTGTGATTAGTCTCTGGGTTAGGAAGGTAGAGGTGCCAGCTGAGATTAGCTCTAATTTTGTCTCGTTGATCTTCTTTGTCCTTTCATCTCCTTAATTCTCTTAGAAGATGGAAGAGCATAGGCAGAGATTTTGGAGTCACAGTACCACTCTGACATCCCAAACTACAGAAAAAAGATTAAACAAGTTAATACATGAAGAGCATGTTCCAGCTGCTCTCCTGACAGGTTTTGAGAATTCTAACTGAACTCATAACATAATACTCATCGTCACAGAGGACGGTTTTGTTTCACATCCTCTAGCTAATCCAAATAAAAATGTTGTTGCCTTCTAATACCACCCATGAAGGTACAGCAGATATGCTACATTGTCATGGTTTTGCTCTGGGTCAATTTGCTCTCACACCCCACACACAATTACTATTAGTTGAGAGAAGGTTTATGCAGACAAAAGAGGCCTGATTTGGGAAAATAATATTAACATTTATTACTAGTAAGCTAAAACTAAAGAACTATAATTACAACAGTTTTACTTAAGTAAAAGAACTATGTATTTACAGAAATACTTCTCCCCCCTTTATATCAGTCCAAGGAGGAGAAGCAGCCTCTTTCTCCATTCTCGGAGCTCCAGGTCTCTTCAATAACTCTGCAGTACTCTTGTTGCAGCTGGAACTCTTTTTCTTTCTCTCTTGCTCTGTGTCAGCCTCCAGGGCTGGGCCTACCCTCCTCCTTGGCTAAGACCAGAGGCTGGGGATTACCCAGGCCCTGAAGGTTTTCTTTTCCATGGACTTGCAAGGGGACACTTGCTTACCATGGATCTTCTTCCACAGGATTACAGGGGATAATGGCTTATGAGTCCACCCGTTTTCTGTGGAGGTCCCTCCCCACGGGAGAACAGTTCTTGATAGACCTCTCCAACGTGGGTCTGGCATGGATTTCACACATGGATTCCAACATCCTACCCGGGCCATCTCGCTCCAGTGTAGATTTTCCTCAGGGTCACAAATCTTCAACAGGACTCTGCCTCACCTCAGGCCTCTCATGAAGTCTCGGCTCCCTGGTACATCCACAAGCTCCTCTGTGAGCTGCATGAGGGTCTCCTCACCCCAACAATCTTCTACAGGTGGTAGGGATTATTTTTCAGTCTTTTCCCTGCTGAAGGGAGAGACCGAAAGGAGGGAGCAGCAAGCCCCCCTTTGCACTTTTCTTCTCTCTCCTGTAGCTGCCAGCTTTGACCTTGGACACTTCATTATCTCTTTGCTGGAATTTCTTCTGCAGCGTTTCTCATCCAAGCAGTCAGTCCTTTAAAGTTTATTTTTTTCTTCACTCTCTTACATAAGAGAAGAGAGGACTTCAGTGCTACACTTGCCCCTGGTCCAGGCCAGGAGAGGAGGGGGCCTTGGCCCACCTCGGGGCCCACCGTCTCTCCTGCATGGCTACTGCTACTAATTTCAACTACGCCACCAACCTTCTCTTCCATTTTTCTTAAATATGTAATTAACAAAGGCATTAGTGAGAGTTTTAATTGGCTTCTTGTCTGGAAATCCACCTGGACAAAACCATTCTCAGCCCCAGGGGCTGGCTGGCTGGGCAAAACCACGACATACATGTAGTCAGTGCAACTTTTCTTGGGTAGCACCATTTGGTAAGCACCTCAGCACATCATTTTCCCCCAGACAACTTGCTGGGTGAACAGTACTTGGAATGCAGAGTTGTATTTACAGGTTAAACATAGCAAAGTGATGAGGACAAAGTGGGGTTGTCATGCCTTCAAGATTTAAAAGGCCAGTGCTAACAGTGCTTACACAACTGGCTTCTGTGAGCTGAACCAAAATCACCAATTCAAACCACAGAGGCCAGTGGAAAGCTATAGGATGAGTTCAGTTCTTAATGACATACTCTTTTACATCAACAGACCAGTCTGAAAAGTTTGTTTTGCCAACCAAATACACAGAGCCATGAAAATAAAATCCACATTAGCATAACTCCCTTGTTTAACATTCTGAACTCCATAATACAAGTTTAGTTACCCAAATGTTGGGCTAAGTTCAACAACTGGGCCAGTTCAAACTAACAAGTACAAATTGCTTCGAGTGATAATTTAAAATATGCTAATTTAAAATATGAATAAAGCCTGTAGACTTCTGTCTCTGCACTAAATGTCACTTATTTATGGTTTACGTGAGTAGAAACTTTACTCATCTCCTGGCCCATCTTCTCAATGCTGTCAGACATCAGCTAATTCTCACATTCATATGCATTTCTGCAAGTTTACAATCTCTAGGAGTGTGATAAATTCTGCATTCCACACAACAGTTTAGGTTGGGTTGGGTTTTTTTTTTGTTGCTACAGATAATCACTTTGTATTATTTACCTATGTAAAAATATTACATTGACAATCAAGTTGATTTATTTTTTCCAACCATTTTTTAAGAAAAAATTTAATCCTCTCAGCTGCCTGAAGTTGAGAGGTATTAGATCTGTGTCAAAATGTTCTCTAAATGAAGAGACCCACAAAGAAATGTCACCACAGGTGTGAACTACTTCCTTGCAAGCCCATCTACCAACAATTTCAGTCTTAGTCTGAGAAACCGCCTTTCAAGCTATTTTTAAATATATTTTCATAACAGAAATCATGTCTCAGGTCAAAAGAGAATTTTTACAGAGAAAAACATCCTAGTGAAGGGCCAAAACTCAACAAGAATTTAAAATGCCTACTACTGTAAAAGACAAGAAAAAATGTTTCTAAAAATACACCACCAACAAAAGGAAAATCTCTATCATTTACTGGATGCAGAGGGAGACATTGTGACAAGGGATGAGGAAGCAGATGAGGAACTTAATGCCTTATTTCCCTCAGTCTTTAATAGCAAAACCAGTTTTTTTCTGGATACTCAGCCCACTGATGTGGAAGACAGAGATGGGCAGAATGAAGACTATAATCCAAGGGGAGACAGTCAATTACCTGCTACACCACTTAGACACACACAGGTCTATGGGGGCAGATAGGATCCACCCAAGGGTACTGAGGGAGCTGGTGGAACAGCTCACCAAGCCATTTTCATCATTTACCAACAGTCCTGGCTAACCAGGCTGGCCCCAGTTGACTGGAGGATGGCAAATGTGATGTCACCATACAAGACAGGCTGAAAGGGGGATCCAGGCCTGTCAACCTGACCCTGGTGTTGGGAAGGTCATGGAGCAGATCAGTGTGAGTGCCATCACTAAGAGCATGCAGGACAACTAGGAGATCAGGCCCAGCCATCATGGGTTTAGGAAAGGCAGGTGCTGCTTGACCCACCTGATCTTCTCAGGGAGAAGCTGTGAATGCTGTCTAACCTGCACTTCATTAAAGCCTTTGACATCACTTTTCTGGAGAAGCTGGCAGCACATGACTTGGACAGGTGCACTCTTCACAGGGTAAAAACTGTCAGGATGGTAGGACCCAGAGAGTGGTGGTGAATGGAGTTACATCCAGTTGGCAGCCGGTCACAAGTGGTGTCCCAAAGGGCTCAGTATTTAAGCCAGTCCTATTTAATATCCTTATCAATGATCTGGATGAGGGAATCAAGGGCATCCTCACTAAGTTGAGAGTGTTGATCTCCTGGAGAACAGAAAGGCTCTGCAGAAGAATCAGGACAGGCTGGATAAATGGGCTAAGGCCAGTTTTATGAGGTTCAACCTGACCAAATGCTAAGTCCTGCACTTGGATCATAACAATCCCAGGGAGTGCTACAGGCTATGGGAAGAGTGGCTGGAAAGCTGCCTAGTGGAAAAGGACCTGGGAGTATTAGTTGACAGAGGCTGAACATGAGCCAGCAGTGTGCCCAGGTGGCAAGGTCACAGGCATCCTGGCTTGGATCAGCAATAGTGTGGCCAGAAGGACCAGGGTTGTGATCATCCCTCTGTACTCAGCACTAGTGAAGCTGTACTTCAAATCCAGTTCTGGGCCCCTCACCCCTGTAAGGACATTGAGGGTCTGAAGCGAGTCCACAGAAGGGCAATGGAGCTGGGAGAGACTCTGGAGCACAAGTCCTGTGAGGAGTGGCTGAGGTTGCTGAGGGTGTTTAGCCTCAAGAGGAGGTGGTTCAGGAGAGATTTTCTTGCTCTCTACAACTGCCTGAAAGAAGGTTGTGGCCAAGTAGTGGTCAGTCTCTTCTCCCAAGTAACAAGACGTCAAGCATTGGCACAAACTGTCCAGGGTAGTAATGGAGTCACCATCCTTGAGGTTATTTAGAAGATGTGTAGATATGGCACTTACGGACGTGGTTTAGTGGTAGACTTGGCAGTTCTCAGCTAACAGCTGGACTTCATGATCTTAAAGGGTTTTTTCCAAACTAAACAATTCTGTGATTCTATGACATTTTTGTTTTGGCAACCATTTGGGTATCTTCAAGGGTCTGCAGTCTCCAGGGGAGTATTTCTTTCTTCTGTATGTGGGTGATTCCTGAAAGTAGCCCACACTGATCCTCCAGCTGTTGAATTGTTACCTACGTGGTAAAATGAAGAGTGGTAACTCCTCAATGCCAACAACACAGAGTATTTGTGATGCATTATTTGAAATGGTAACACATGAACTTGCTCAAACAGCCATGTTACAACATCAAATGGTTGTAATTAGTTGCACTATATCAGGGTATGGTGTACCACCTCACTGTAATGACAAGTATTTGTTCAGGCATTAGATTTTTGGACTAAAACTCTCAGTCTGTCATTTTTGTCATTTTTAAACTGATTACCCAATCTTCCTGGGCAGATCTCCCAGAGTGTGTAGTCTTGTCTGTACAATGACTAAGAAGATACTGAGTAAGAGTACTTGGTGATGTGGGGTGGTTGTGTGGTTTTTTGTTTTGTTTTTAATGCTAAAGGAGTGTCAGTTGAATGTTGAAGTTCTAGGAAAACAAAAATGACTGTTTCAGATCACCAGTTACTTTCTGCTGTTTACTCTGAAAAAAGTGTCACTTTCTTTATAAAAATGGTATGTTACATTCACTTTTTCAATGGATTAGTAAGGTACATTATTTTAAAATCAGCACTTGCTTCCTGGGGCTTACACTTGCCACTCCAATGCTCTGCAAACAGGAAACAGTAGAGCCCAGTTCAACAGAATAGAGCAGCAGAGCAACAAAATGAAACTCAGTGTGTTGAGCTCCAAGTCCCATTTGCCCAAACAGAAGCATACGGGAAAGCTCTTGCTAGGGGGAAGGAAGGAACCAAGGAACAACCACATCATGTCCCATTTCCAAGGTGAACCTCACAGTGTGATTTGAGTTGAATCAAGAATTTTCAGGGAGGTATTCACAGTAGTTGTGAAAACAACTACTGTATGGATCCTAAGTGACCAGCAAAAAAATCTAAATAAGATACATGAAAGGTAAGCAGCACAGTCTCTGACTTGATCTGATTATTTTTTCAAGAGAATCTGCAGGGTTATGCTTCCCACATATAAAGAAACAAGCACTACAATACAGTTCCAGTTTTGTTCAAAAAAGGGACCTGCTTTCCAGGCAGAGCCAGAGAAGCTTACTCCTTCTTTTACTATTGTCATCCTAACAGTGACTCTCTCCCTTCTCTTGGATTCCTGGCCACCTTCTGCTGTGAACATACACTGATTTTCACACCACCTATTCATACTGGCTAGCACGAGCACAGCTGGCTGAGGCACCACCTCAGGAATATGTTCTATATACATCCAAATTGTTTAGCATCATACAACTGTGCCATATAGTGCAAGGACTATGCTAACAGTTTTGACTTTCTGGGAATACTTATCCCGTTTAAATTAAGATCTTACTGGTAAGTACTTTTAATAGTCTCTAGCAGGAATTTAAGAAAGTAACCAATAAATATGTTTATGAGAGAGTGGAATGTCACTGAGCAGCACATGATAGTAATCTGTACTGTGACTTATAAAAGAGCAATTTAGGGTGTGATTTCTGTGGTTGGCTCATATAGGGAAAAAAAAGGCGAATTCCAATATGCAAAATATTCTTTCACTTTGCAGTCAGCATAACTGGAAATACAGCCTGTGGCAGAAGCCAGCATTGTCTCAGACTGCATCCATCCTCTCCCAAGCTGCAGGCAAATCTTTTGCTATTCATTCTTATTCCTGCAGACTGTAATTGCACTAAAGTGCATCTTAAAATGTGACTACTTATTTAACTGTTCGTAACTTATTTACTCATATCAAAGTAGCACCTAGACATTCCAGTGAGGATTTAAACCTCATTGTGCTTCTTACTGTTCAAAAACATTACAAGAAATACACTCTGTAATTCCAAAAGTTTATAGATGAAGTAAGCAGGCTACACAGAGAGTGGAAAAATGAAACTATTTTTGTCAAGGTGATACAGCAAAGATGTCTTGGTTGGTTTCTTGATTCAGCCATACATCCTGTTAGTAGCTTTTTAAGATTGAAAACATGATGACCGTTTGCAGTGAATGACTTAAAACTGTGGTATTCTGAAGTCATCCATTAATATCAGTCACTGGTTATCAGACATCTAAAACCCCTGCGGCACGGTTAAGTCCTTTTTAACAGTTACTGTGTTTCACCCTACACTGCATTTTAGCAGTGGATAAAATAAAATTCTTACATATATATAATTGCCTAGACTTTCTCTAACTATTGACTATTTCAAAATTAATGATAACAGCCTGTGCTCCTCCAGATGTGTCAGCAATGTATATAAAATAAGGTATCTCTGTTCTTTAAAGAGTTACAGAGCCTCATTCTTTCAAAGAATCTTTTACAGAGTGCTCTTTAATCTTCACGCAGAGCATGTCTCACCCCTCACCTCATTCCTATTACTATTTTTAGAAACCAGAGATTTAAACATATTTTCTAAAATGGAAGATTGCTAGGCCAGTTGAAAAGTACAGCTGTTGGAATTCTTGAATATTCTAGTGTGAAATCATTGTAGATGAACATTTGGCCAGTCAGAATCAAGCAAGTGATTTAGATTCAAATGTTCTAGTCAATTTTAAAATAACAGTTATGGAGCTCTGGGATGCACTTACCAGTAGATAAGTGCAGCAGGACTTTCAGAAACCCTTTTTTCTCATGTCACAAGCACCTGTTTTGTTGGTATTATAAAGCATTTTTTAGAATTTCATATATTTACAATCCTGAGGTGAAAAAAGAAAATGCCAGAGCTATTTGTTCGAGTGCTTATATAAGTGTTTCAATTAGAGCATTACAAGAAGTAAAGAGGAAATGCAGTACCCACAAGCATTGAATGATTTAATGTAGAAAGTGAAAACAGAAATACAAACATCTTTCTCCCCAAATATTTCTTGCCCTCTTTAGGAGAAAGTCCAATTTATATCTGAACAATATTTCCAATGTAGTTCAAATGTTTGTATTTTTTTTAAAATCACAAAAGATAGTATTTTATGTCCCCCTGTGCCTTTAGAAAAAAAAGTTTCTCTATCATAGATTTTGAGGCTTAAGGCCAGCTAGAAAGTGTGGCAGCTCTTTAACAGCTATTTGAGGTGACCTGTAGACAGAAAGACTTTTATACATGGAAATTCACTCCTCCCTTTTCAAACCAGAAAAACAGGCAAGATGCCAGGAGCTGCAGGCTATGAGCATGTTTGTGAAGGGGGAATTCACCTGCTGAACCCTCCACACCCTCTCTTCCAGAATACACTATGAAACAGCTTCTGCCTGTCACTTCTGCCTGCTGCAGCCTGGAAAGATTAGAAACCATGATATATTCCCATGATCCTTCCCTGGACTTTCCCCACAAGTGTTATTTGAGTGTATTCTGTGTCCTGCATAACAGTTTTCTGGGCATACAGAGAGGCCTATCATTCAGCTACACTACCCACAACCTTTCTTAACACAAGACAGAAAAGGTTCAGAAACCTTGAGAGCTTTCTAAATTACACTGACTTCAATCCATTCAAAACTGACATAAGATCTGATCTAAATGAATCAGCTGATAAAAAAATAGGAAGGCAGACTTCCTGCTACAAATAATTATTTAACCACAAAGTTTAAATGAATGTTTCTATTTGATTTCTTGTCTGTACTCTTGGAACTGAACTGTTTCAGTGTAAATGTAGTAGTCTGTCTGCTGAGAACACTCCTTAAAATAATCTTACCTAGGTAAAACTTGAGAGTGAGCCACAAAGTATGTAAGTGGAAAGCAGCAGGTTTTTGCCTTTCTGACACTGCATTACAAAAGTGAAGTAAAGCACCATCCTCATCACCCTTAAAAGTAAACCACATCAGCATAACTTTAACTTAGCTTCACTGGTTTCCCAGCACTGCTAAGTGCATGAGGAGTTTGTGCTTTCCGGCCTTGCAGTGGTATTGATTAATATATTTATAATATAAACCCTGTATATTGAGCTGAGGGTGTGGAAGTCATGTCACTGGCATAAAGCACTACCAAAACCATTGTGTTAGTCTTTGTAACTCAAAGCTTCTACAAGTCTCCATAGCATAAAAATCTGTCACTCTTCCAAATCAGAAGAAAAACTACAGATAAACTGGGTTGGTTTTTTTTTTTTTGTGGTGGTTTTGTGGGTTTTTTTCTTTTCTTTTTTAACCATTCTTATCTTGGAAGTTGAGCACTATTTTGTTCTTCCTGTAATCTATAGCAGTTGTTTGTTTTGTCAGTTGTAATTGTCAGCCATGGTTAGCATGGTTTTCATGAATGCAGAGCCATATGAAGCGGTAGAGTACTTCTTCAGACCAGACTCACTCTACAGACTATGCTTCTGCTTTTATGGCATAGTCAAAGTAACAAGAGGCAAGATGATGAGCAGTGGCATCTAAGAGATCTCTAGCATCATCAGAAAGTACAAACATAAAAGAAACCCCTTTTGAAACATGTTATTCCAGTGCTATCTTGCTCCATTATAGCTCAAGAAAAGGAAATCAGCATTCTTTGGAAATGTGCTGAATGTGAGGAAAATGAAACATTCTTCCCCATCTGCTGGAAATACTCTAAAGTAAACAAGGGTGCTAAGTACTGGGCAGAAATACTGGAAGTAATTTTTTAAAATAACAAAAAAGCAGGCGCCAGTGGAGGCCCCTAGTCATCCATCTAGGCTTAGCACTGTAAAGAAATTACGGTTTGGTAAACTAAATCTACAGACAGCTGCCAGATGGCTAATCATGGTTAGTGGAGAACATAAAGGGCTTAGCTTGACGATCAGGCTTAGCAAAATAACAGATGTCCCGAAAAAAAATGAAATTTTACAGATTCTGAAAGGTCTAGTGACAGTAAACTTATACAGTCTGGCTCACAAATTCAAACCCTTCATTTAAATGCAAGACCTTGATTAAATGTTGATTGTTATCTAGGAAATACAAGCTGCTATGAAAAGCCTTAACAAACTTGTATCTGAGGGGAACAGTGCAGGGTTTGACTCTACTGCTAGTATACCACAACCAATATTAGACTAAAATGGTACAATTATCACATCTCCTCCTTGTGTTGTTAGTTAGGGCGAGAAAGCATTTCCCATAACTACATTAGACAACACAACACTTGCTATACCTAATATAATCACCTAATATACCTTAGAAAAATCAGCAAATGATTTCCTAGGAAATATAACACATTCATAATAATTACAGCAATATGTTTGATTTCACAAAAGAGTGAGTTGTACACCCATTTTGCAAATGTATTCAAAAGTCAACAGAAACCACAGAGGTTTTAGAAACAGAAAATTTAGAAATAGAGAAGACTAAATGTTGAAATTTGGTGGGGTTTTAAAGCAATCAATTGTTTAAAGCAATTTATTTGAAGCATTATTTGTTTAGGTTAAACAATAAAAGATTTTCTTTTCTTGCAATAGCTAAAATTTATATAATACTCCAAATATCACTGACAGAGCCACAATGTGTTCTGTATCTCCAATAATCTTGTTACTTGTCTTTTCCTCCTTTTTACTTTTGACAACTCATGGCCCCTTCAAAGTAACTTACTTTGCTGTTCCAATCACTGGTTCTTTTTTTAGCACTAGGGTTTGACTCAAATAGGAAGTGAATTCACCCTGTTTCCTTTCAAGCAGTTTGCATCCTGTCCTTGTTTTCTTGATTTTCCGTTTCATTTCACCATTATATTGGAGCTTCATTTCACAGAGAAACTGACACCAGTATTGTCATCAACATTTCAAAAATCAAGATATGTTTCAAAAATCAACAGTAATTGAAAAGGTACACATTGTAAGAAAGGTACCATTAAAGGCTGAAAATGTAGATTACCTCTGTCACTGTGGCTCTTAACATTTTTTGTTAGATTGCATTTACTCAACTGGTGAGATGAAAACTGACCTTGTAAAAGACAAGAGAAAAAAATTAACTTCACTGAGAACAGAATTTCCCTCTACTTCTTTTTTTATACATTAAACTTTTCCATGGAAATGTGATTTTTCAGTCTCCCTTTGTACACAGCCAATGTCACAAAACATTATTTCAGCATTACATTTTTGCTAAGCAAAACAGATGAAACTCCCTTGCAGAAAATTAATTCTGTCTGCCAGAGGTATCATTTTTTTGTTTGCATTTTAGACTTGTCTATGAAAAAAAAAATAACAGGATCAAACTCATTTAAATGAGTGTTAACACAGACACTCTGCATTAACAGTATAAAATCTCATACAGGATAAGAAGGTTGCTGCTGAAGTAAAGGTTTCTCTTACCAGAAAACATGCTGGTTATGTTGACTCTGACTATTCCAAGGGGGGAAAAACCCAACAAACAAGCAAAGGAATCCTTAATCATAACCTGAAAAGCTTCTACTTGGATTTTTCTTTCCAGTAAATTTTGGAATATTATGTTGGATTACATGCCTTTTCTCAAGAAAAGTGTAACTGATTAATGAGTAAGTAAAAAGTTGTTTCTTGACCTGGATGGAAAAACACCTTCTTACAGCATTGCACATGCTCACAAATGACATTTTACAAAAGTATGTCAGTTACCACTTTAGAGCTATCAAGTTTACAGTGTATAAGCCAATAAACCTTGATCTGCATCCAGCTTTGAATAAATTGACTTCTTCCTGCCTGCAAAATCCCCCTACAGAATCTGCTGGATATGATTTAAGGCTTCACATTATTAAGCAATTGTTACATTCACTTCAGACAAGGCTGAATTCAACCATCTGTAAAAGGGCCTTCTTACACTCAGAAATGAGACTGAGCTTTCTGCCTTCAACCGACTTTTTTTTTCTTAAGGCTGTGGATGAAGAATTGCTGTTTACAGAGAAAAGAACTGCATGAACACAGAGAATAATTTCCTCTTATCGCTCAGATACAAGGGTCAGCAACTTGTCAAGGATTATATGTCAGATTGTATTTTTCTTTTCTGATTCAGTGGTTGAACTTGCTGGAATTCAGCAGGAGCCAGGAACTGCTGCTTCCCAAGGGACAGGATCCCACCACCATACAGTCAATAGCCCATCTGCATATGAAGAACTAGTTTCACAGAATCACAATCATTTAGGTTGCAAAAGACCTCCAAGATTATCGAGTCCAACCTTTGACTGATCTCAACCTTGTCAACTATACCATGGCACTAACTGCCACGTCAGTCATTTCTTAAACATTTCCATGGATGGTGACTCCTTGGGTATCCATTCCTTGAACAACTTCCTCCTGATGTCCAACCAGAACCTCCCCTGGTGCAGCTTGAGGCCATTTCATCTTGTCTTGTTGCCAGTTGCCTGGAAGAGATCGACTCCCACCTGGCTACAGCCTCCTTTCAGATAGTTGGAGAGCGTAAGACTCCTCTTCAGGTCCAGCTCTCTCCAAAACTCCTCATATAACTTACTTCCTAGACCCTTCCCCAGCTCTGTTGCCCTTCTCTGGACACACTTCAGCACCTCAATGTCGTTTTTGTAGTGAGGGGCCCAGAACTGGAAACAAGATTCAAGGTGCCCTCACGAGTGCCAAGTAAGGCCACCATCAAGTCCTAACTCAGGCACTGAGAACAGCAGCTTGTTAATGACAGCTTCCTTTTCTTCCCTGTCTGTATCTCCCCTAGTACTTCTGTCAGTAGCAAGGGTTCCCATATATCACATAAATACCAACCTACCTAATCAAATTTGCCTCCTGATGGTGAGACATGCCCTGGACAACACCAAACAAATCCAGGTGCAGATACTAGTAAGTTGTTTCATAAAGGATCTATTCAGAAAGGGCATTGAAATATGAATAGCAGCAGTTTATACGTTTCAGGATATACTGACATTGACATGACATGTCTTGAGTATGCAGATCTCTCCAAGAGGATTCTCCCACTGCTTAATTAACTATAGACAAAATATATTCAAGTCAACCTTTACAGACTGAATAAGAAGTGGCTTTGATGACAGAAGAAAGTAAGGGCAAAAGAAAAGAAACAAGAAAGTGAAGAAGAAATAGTAGACAATGATAATGTAAAGAACGAGAGAGCATTAATCTATGATTATGATAATGGTTTGGTGTCTGTGTTACATCCCTTACCACTAATGTTTGTCTGCTGTTTTCTTTTGTCCTTTAGGACCTCTGATTCTGGAGAAGGTCTACATTTTCCCATACATTTACACATCAGCAAGACGACTGCTCCTACTCCAGTCTGGGAAATCTGAGTGCTGCAACAAGACTAAACAGAAAACACAAAACCTCCAAAATTCTGTTCTCAGAAGTTAAAGCTTGATTACAAATATTCATACCAGAATTCCAAGTAACAATGACAAATTCTATACTGGGGAGTAGGCTCTAAAGAGAATGTTTACAGCTCACTGTAGGAGATGCTCTCAGACTGTGATTCATATGTATCTGGCTTATCTCTTCAAGCAAGCTTTTGCTGCTATTGGCGCTGTAGAGGAGCTTCAGTACTGAGAAACTGGGCTTGAAGACTGGCCATTATATTATTATTATTATTATTATTATTATTATTATTATGCATGATCATTATCATTTTTGTTCGCCAAAGTTTGACTGCAAAGTACTTGTTACAGCATGTGGTGAGACAGGCTCCAGCATTTTGTGTTTTCTAACAGCTCAAGCAGAAAACTTCAAGCACACAGCTGTTAAGACCAGTTTTTTAAAATGTGTCACTTTAAGGAAATTATATATCATTGCTGATAGCTCTCTTCCAGGCAACCAAGTGGTATATCACTGGACTGATTTCAGTGGTATAGTGTATAACAGCAGGTATAGCAGGGAAAATTACAAAAATGACTTGTCAGTAGTTTGCCTGTAGCTTATTTCTTCTCTGTAAGCTCCATATACAGTTTCTTCAATGTGTCTCTACCACCTTATACTGAGAAGGCACAAGCTCTAGTATCAGAAAGCCAAACCACTTCCAACCATAACAAAGCTTAACTCATACACACTCTTTGTGTTTAGAGTCATTCCACTCCCTAAGACCAGCACTCACACAAACAAGTTTTAGCCTTAGTCTGTAGACTCCACTGCTCGATGGAGTAACCACAGTGTGGAGCATGGGGCCAGGCACCCCCTGTGCTGTACTTGCTGTGCTCTGCAGTTGAGGACTAGGAACACAAGCTTCATTTGTAGCTCTGCACCTTGTATGCCAGTTCTCATACAACCTGAAAGTCATGGGATGTTGTTCTGCACAAACTTGAACCTTGTTACAGCCTGCTCAGAACACAAAGGGAAGGCATGGATAACCATGGCCAATGATGATTTGGCTGACTAGAACTGTTCCCTCACCCACTAGAAAGGACAGAAAGTGCCACTTATGTGTTTTTTAAGAGGTCAACATCAAAAAGGAACCCACAGTCACATCTATATAACACAGACTGGCTTCCCATAACAGAGGAGACTGAACCACAGCCTCGGTTTCAGAATGCCCTTTTCTACTGCTGGTATCACTTCTGCCAGCCCAGTATTCAGGCCCAGCTCAGTTGTTGTTCACACGACGTTGATTCGTCCAAACAATTACTTTGGCAAAAAAGGACTGACATTTTCTTGCATATTTGTTATTGGCTACACTGCTCTTTGTGGCCAAGTAGGAAAGACAATTCCCCTCATTCTGAAGATATCTTCCTCTTCTTTCTCATCATCTTCTGCTACTCCTAGTTGGGTCTTCTTGCCCACGTCTAAGAGTTTTGCCTAAAGCATTTGTGAAAGGATACATCTAAATTCAGTCTGTGGGTGCAGAATCACTCCAAAGGCATTTCAGCTCCAGTAGCTGCCAAAAACATACTAAATTCATGGGCAGCTCACACATGTGGCATAAATGACTGCAGCATGTCATAACACCTTAACCTTATCCTAGCTCTGAATCAGTACTTCTTTGCAGTGAACAGTATTGCTTATTCTGACTTAACCATCTTATGCGTTTGATTAATTTATTCCTTTACAGTATTTTCATTTCATCATCATTGAAATTTCATATTGGTTTTCCTTTTTCTGGTCTCACGTTTACTCTTGTTTACCAAGAAGACCAGACCCCTTATTTTAAGATTGTCCTGCCCACCATCCTTTTGGAAAAAAACACCCCCAGCAACATGTTCCATTAGTCAAAGCTTTACTGCCTAGGTCTAAAATGACATTAGCTGTATGATTTCCATTCCAGAAAAACAAGCAGGTTGCTAGGTTCCACACTGCTCTGTTAGATGTGCCATTAATTTAAAGTGGGCTATAACCAATGCCCTTTCTTTTCCATATGTCCTGCTGCAGCTTCATGATGTTACCATTTCTATTCCTGAATGAAAACAACAAAGAACTGGGTCAAGTCCTCTTCAACAACCCACAGCTTTCCTGCCAAGCATTTCACATGTGAAAGAGTCAACTATCCCCATTCCTAATTTTTACCAACGATAACAAGATTTTCCTGAAGTTCTGAAGCCTAGCTGCAACCCTACAAACCCTGACTGAATTTTGCAAGATCTCATCCAGAGCCTCAGATTTTAGCAACCTACTGGGTATAAGCAATGCTAAGGAATGAGGGCAGTCCTGTTGCCATATGCATCACTCATTCCCTCGTGAAACAGATGCCATCAAGTATCAAGTCGTACATATTTGTTTGTTTGCAATAATGGTTGTTTGAGGCTCAGTGAACTTTACTCCTTCATCACAGGGTGACAAACACGTACTTGCTCTTATGAAAAAGAAAATATACTCATATCTGCCTCAAAAGGAAGTAATGAATTAATAAGCCTATTTTTTCCTGCCACGGAGTAGCTCATGTTTGCTAAGTTATAGGACTATGAAATGCCGTAACTGTCATTAAATCATTTCCAACACTTACATCAGCCATTTTTTTTCCTTGCTGTGGCCTCCCAGCCTGTGTGCTCCCTACTTCTTCAAAGGACTTTACCATAACTTCATGACCTACAAGCTTCAACAGAACAGTCTGCTACTGTTCTGACAGCTCAGGCCAAAGGACTAGTCTTCTCCACTCTTGAGTGGGGAAAAAAAGTGACTCTTCTTCATGTTAACAAACGTCAGACTCTGTAGATCCTAAGTTCAAGTTCAGGAGAATCATATAAGCTGAGATAACATCATCATTACAGCAAGAGGTTTGGATGTTTCACTGAACCTTACAGGCAAATAGTTCTATATAGTAATTCAGCCATCTCACAGAAAATGACTTTGACTTGCCATTAGTCAGAACATTGCCACTGAAGGGTCTTCTTGTTCAGCTTCTCCCTTACTTGTGAAATCTTTCCCAAAAGCAACCCATCTCAAAAAAACCTCACATGTATCCAGACTGAGGAATCTTTTCACATCCCTGATCTATAGGATGCTTCATGTCCTTATACCAAGATAATAATAATTTCCGGAAATATATTTTCCTTTCTATGGCATACCTATTGTAGGATTCAGTAGCTTTTGTACTGACTGCAAACCTTGTCACAGCCTGTTACAAAACTGCTTCAAATATCCAGAAAGAGTGGTACAAGTTTGTTCCCTGGCAATCTCTAAGAGCATCTCTAAAAATATCTCTGCTCCCACAGTCAAACAGCTACCTAGAAACCTTAGCCAATCACTAAATGTTTTCCTAGCATCACTGCCCATCTCCGCACTCCCAGGCTATCCTCTTCTTCCTGGGGATGAAGAAGTAAAGGGTGTGAAGACATGCTCCACCTACTTATATCCTAGCTGTGGATTGCGGGAGCTTGGAAATATCCTATATAGCCCTGATCTGAAAACTGCACTGGAACACAAACTGCAGTCTAAAAAGGTAGGTAAGTAATTAATCTCAAAGGCCTTCCAATTCCTGATAATTAACTTCCTTTTATTCTTTCCTCATATATTTAGGGAATATATGACTAAACATTTCATTAAATATATAAACATTTAATATAATGCTTCATTCAATGTCCAGATTAAAATGCTAGCTTGAAGGAACATTTTTAAAATGTGGCCAGAATTTTGCACTTCTCTGAGTATTTGAAACTTTAAATTACTGATGTTTATATTACCTATACCAGTACTATGCTGCATATACAGTACACTATAAAGCTGTATAACATGTTTCAGCAGGTAAGACTATAAACAATAAATCAAATTGAAGAGTCTTTCAGGAAATGGTCTATGTGCAGAAAAGGCACTTCACAACATGCTTGAAGGGTTTAACTCTTTTCTTTACCAGGGATCCCCAATATCCCAGTTCTATCAAGTGGCAGCTGCAATAGTAACTTTATACCTGCTTGCAACAGAAGATGCCTAATGTCTAAGAATACAAGCCAGATTTTTGGCAACTAAATTGTTACTGAATAAATGATATTTTGTGCCAATACAGAAAAAAATTAAGCACAGTTGCAAACAAATAATTTTGGTTTTCTGTGCAACTTCAGCTATGTGTAAATAGTTTTACATTAAGTTCATAAATAGCCTGTGAAATACAAGAGCTCTTGCTTATTTAAAGAGTTACAATACATGTCGTATGTAAGTGAAGCCTGACACGGAATCTGTTTTAAAGCGGGTGGGGGAAATTGTTCTACTAGCTTTGGCAATATACCAGAAATCACTTCAGGCTATAGGATTTCAGAAAAAGAATGTCACAGGAGGCTTTCTGTCACGCGGGGGAGGGGGGAGAGTGGAGTCTACTCTGAAATGTCTATTTAGCAGCAGAACTCAAGTGATCTTACAAGACATAGAAGGCGTGCTGAAACGAGGAAAAAAGCCCACAACATTATTTTTTCAGTCCCTCTAGTTAGAGCCTGGTTCCACTTAAACCTTTGTTGCCTAACACCAATTTTTGAGGGTGCTGAAGGAGGCATATCCATACAGACCGAAATCTGTCAATTGTAGAATTGAACCGTACTTGTACAATCTCAGGCTCATAATGACACACCAACCACAATTTGAAGAGAAAGCAAAAGTGTCAAACTGCTTTTTTTATAATGAAAAAAACTGTGAAACTTATTCCCAGATGTCAGTTGTCCTGATACATTAAGAAGGGCTTGAACACTAAAAAACCTGTAGAAAATGGAAAGGACTAAGACTATTGAGTGTAGAGACCACCAATGGGAGAAACAGCAGCATTTACAGAATCTAAGGTTACTACGAAGAGCACAGCTGTGAGCAGGGACATAGAGTAATAAACTTAACCTGTAGGTTAGATAAATATCTATCAGACACTATTTAAGTATAGACAATTTTGCCTAAGCAGAGGAATTAAATGACTTTTGAAGTGTCCATCCAGCTCTACTTTGTTGTGTTCAAAATCTACAACATTCTCAGAGTAAGCAAAACATTTTTGTTGGGGATATTAAGCCATTGCAGAAAGTAACGGTTTATAGAAACATAATCAGAGACTGGTACTAAACACGTAAGAAATAAGGTATCTTCCACTATCTTTTTTCCAAAGTTCTTAATCTTTTCTCAATAGCAGCTCATGCCAGTGCTTGAAACCGGATATTGGACTAGATGCCCTATTCACCTAGTGAATCTGCCCATTCCTCTAAAGACGTAACTAAAAATATAATATAGCTCATATCCTACTCAAGCCCAAAGACAATTTAAGAAGTGAATGGGCAAAAGCCTAAACTGTATGGCAGGAAGCAACTCGGGTATGCATTAGTGATGTCTGGTGCTTTCCTGACTAGAAAGAGCCTCCTTGGACACTCTCGGGACCACCGAAGTCTGTGGCATGTCACTGGAATGTGTTCCTTCTCACTCTTGAACTGGAATTAATCTGGAATGAAGAGGGTATGTTAGTGTCTGATATAAAAATACAAAAGTCATTTTTTCAGGGTTATGGAATGAAGAAATGTGCAAGTACAACCATGGAGAGAACATAGAGGCTTCGCTGGATCATGATCACAACAACGAACTACATTAAGAACCATTCCTTAGCAACCCGGCCTTCCACAAACACCTTTTTCAGGACTGACACCGTGACTTTCGGGCACCGAGCCTGCCCTCGCTCGCAACGCTCTGCTCACACCGCAGCTGTTGACAAGCGCATTCCCCAGCCGCCCGTGTTCCCAGGGGAGCCTTGCAAAACGGAGGGACGGTCGCTGGCTGCTCGGGCCTGCCCAAGGACAACACTCCCGCCGCGCCGCCAGCGCAGGCCCCGCAGGACACGGGCCGGGAGAGGCTTCCAGTGGCCCGGCCGGCGGTGGCCTGGGCAGGGGCCGGCTCTCCTCAAGAGAGCGCAACACCTGGCACACATCCCGAAGCAGAGCCGCGCGGGGCCAAAGGGCGTACACACCCCAGCGCAGGCGGACAAATGGGTGGTGGGACGGGGCCCCGCCCCCTCCGGGCCCCGCTCCCCCGCCATCCCGGCACGGGCACCGCCCCCTCCGGGCCCCGCTCCCCCGCCATCCCGGCACGGGCCCCGCCCTCCGGGCCCCTGCTCCCCGCCATCCCGGCACGGGCCCTGCCTCCGGGCCCTGCTCCCCGCCATCCCGTGCACGGGCCCCGCCCCTCCGGGCCCCTGCTCCCCGCCATCCCGGCACGGGCACCGCCCTCCGGGCCCCTGCTCCCCGCCATCCCGGCACGGGCACCGCCCTCCGCCTCCTGCTCCGCCATCCCCGGCACGGGCCGCCGCCTTACGGGAAGCCCCTTCCCTTCGCTGGACACGCCCACTCTGGAGACGTCACGGAGGTCGTGGACCAATGGCGACGCAGGGAGAGGAGGGGGCGGACGGACGCGCGGGGGCCGGGGCGGCCGGCGCGTGGCTGCTCGCGGCTGCTCGCGGCTGCTCGCGGGGCTGCGCGTGCGGGACTGCGGCGCGATGGCGCGAGGCGGCCTGGCCGCTCCGTAGGGGCAGCAGCCGCGGGGCGCGAGCGGCGGCGGCGCCGGGTAAGGGGTGCGGGCCCGGTCAGTGCGGTTATCCCGTCCCGTCCCGTCCCGTCCCACTCCCTCCCCTTCGGCCCCTCAGCGCCCTCGCCCTGAGGGGCGTCCGCTGCCGGGGCCGCGCGCCGCGGGCGGGGGGGGGCACCGGTTCGTTCGTCCGGGGCTGACGGGGATTCGCGCCGGGGCTGTTGTGGGGGCGGGCGGCACTTGCGCCACTCGTTCCCCGGGCCGACCGCCAGCCGTGCCCCGCGGCCGTGTCCCGCCTCGTCCCGCCTCCCCTCGCAGCGCCGGCGGGGCTGCCCGGCGGTGACGCTCCGAACGCGACAAGGCCTCGGTCGGGGCCGCTCCGCGCGTCCATCCCCCCGCGGGGCCGGTGCCGGGGGTCCCGCCCGCTGCCCCTCCCCTGGCCCGGGGAGGAGGTCAGGCCGGAGGGTGTCTGGGCTCTCCCCCAGGTGGGGTGGCGAGTGCCGGCGCTCTGCGCTGACAGAGGGGCCGCGACCCTCGCTGAGCTCGCGTCTCCTGGGCACTCTCGGCTCCGTGATAAGCTCGGCCGCGCTATCGGCGGACATTTCCTTGAGGGAAAGGTTAGTGTTTGGTTACCTTTACCAGAAGAGGTCTGCTCTTGTTGCCTGTGGATGAGAAGGTAGAAAACTGCTGGCCTTGAAAGAGACGCACGCTTGTTCTTATCGCTGGTCAAGTAGTGATTCCCTAAGGAATTAGGGAGGAGCGGGTGGGTGCAGTGGTCAGTCTGGGTCCTCTGGTAATTTCCAACGTGCTCTGGAGCTCCAGTCATCCCTGTAGTAGGGCTAGGATGCTTTCCCTAGAGAAAACAGGCGTCATTATTTTCTTCTCTCAGATGATGAAACTGAGGCACAAAGGAAAGCAGTCTGCCAAGTGTGTTGGCAGTGCAGAGGAGAATAAATCCCAGTCTCAGTTTTCATCCTTATGTTAGGCTGACTAGGAGTTTGCCAGCTGGTGGCTTCTTGTTACTTCTGAGACATTTCTGAAGGAGAAACCTGGAAGTAGAATTATGTGGGATTATAGTTTTGTTATTGGTGATCTGTCCTGTCACTGAGGATGGGGGAAAAAAGGGAGAGATCCACAACTTGAAGAGATTGGATACTTTTGTTAATGGTTAATTAATTAATGGGAGTTAATGGTCTTTTTTCTTTCACCCTCTTTTTTTATAAAAACATAAAATTTCTCTTCTTATATACTGTTACTTTCAGAGGAATAATTATGTAAAAGATACCTCTTTAGAGCATCTAACTTCTGAACTCAAAAGATTTTTTAATCTGTATGTTGATGTATCACAATGATGATGAAATTTTGAGATTACTTCCTAGAAGTTGAGCACTAGAAGTAATTATTTGGATCTTGTTTACGTGTCTAGAAATGTGATAGCTTCAAGTAAACCAAATACGTAAATATTTTTGGCTGTAGGGGGAAGATACTTGCACATCCGTAAGTGAGTATGTAAAATGGAGATACATTGTTTCCTGTGCTGCTTGTCTGGAGGATTAACAGTAGCACAATTATATGCAAATAAATAAATTTGGCCATTTTTTTAATAATTATTTTTTTATTAGTAAGAACTGTCTAAATTAGAGAACCAGCATTGCTGGTGATCACTTTGGAAGGTTTAACTTCAAGATGAGTGCATGGAATGCTAAGACTTTATTTTGTATAAATTAGTTTAATTTTTGGACTAAAACTACTTATTAGCTTTGAAAAAATCCTGAAGTATTTCAGACAGAATTATTTACAGTCTTAAGAAAATACCAGGAAGAACTTAATTATTGCTAGCAAATATTTGGTTCCTCTAATTAGGTATTTCAGTAATTTTAATCTGTGTCCCTTTTTTGTTTTTCTTTTTTTCTGTTTATTTTTACTCTGAGTGTTATACTAAAACCCCAGAGGTATGGAGAAGCCTTCTTCTAGAGGCAAAGGAGTGAGTAATGTAGAGAAATTACATACCTATAGGGTGAAAAGGATGGAGATCATCACTTTCACATAGAGAGACTTTAAATATGAGAATTAATTTCAGAATATGCTGCACATATAAGGAATGTTATGTAATATTTTCAAGTGCTTGTCTTAGAGGTGTTTGGTGTTGTTTCAACCTCATAAATATTTCCAAGAAGGAAGTAAGCTTAGAGGAAGGAAGGAAGCTTGCAGATTAAATACTCTTAATTAGAAAGCAGTTACTGTTGGAGTAATCAGAATTCCTTGAGGATAGCTGCAGCTTTTAGATGGGCTTTAAGTATCTGCCTGGCTTGTTATAAAACCTCAAGCAGTAACTGCTTGGTGCGGTATCACTGGCCCTATCTACCTGAGCTGTGTGGATTCTTAGTGAGAGATTACCATTTGAAGCACTAAACTTGGCTCTTAATTTTTTGAGGAATTTCTGTAAATCCATTTGCCAGCAACCTTTGGTCTTCCATGATTTATGTGGTGATGAGCCTTAATAGACTGAACACCTTCCTGTGGTGGTTGTGGTGTTATCTGTACTTCCTGACTTGCAAGCCGGCTTTGCTGGCAAGTACATGTTCTGGCTACAGTTTCCTAAGCTGACATTGTCATTTGCCGGTCATTTGGAAAGTAATTGTCACCTCTCTGAAACGGAGAGATGATAATTCATTATATGACATCTGTATTCATTTTGGGGAAGTTCTCATGATTTATGAAAGAAGATTAATTTTTAAGACTTCTCCCTTGCTCAGAGTAAGTAATGATACCTGTTTTGGATGAATGCCTGACACTTTTCCAAAAACAGGTCACAGGTTAATTATAAAACTCAACAGTGTTGCTACTTTGTGCATATGAAGCTTGGCTTTAGGGTCGTTCTTAGCTTTTCACAGGACACTGCCTGAAATATCACCTTAAGGTTCAGGCATCAAAGGTTAGTGCTTTCCTTTCTAAATGGTTTTAGGATGTGAAGAAGAGTAATAGAAGTTCTGTATGATTTAGGTTTTAAATGGGGTGATCTCACAGCGTATAAGTTTTGTAAGTCTGTCTTTACTGAAATAATCAGAGCATTTTAACAGGTTTTCTTCCTCTTTGAAATAACTTAAGTTCGGAGTTAAGGTCTGTTACCGACAGCAGTTCTAAATTGACCATGTTGTTTGTACTATTTTGATGGACTTTGATCCCCTGTCACTTAAGCAGACTAAACTGAGAGTAACTTGCAAACTTCAGGCATCAGGTTCAACTTGAACCTTAGATTCCTTATACACTATACCAGCTTTGGGCTCTGCATAATGAGTGGAAGAAACTACTGCATTTTCTGTTGTCTCTAGACTATGGGCTTAGCTTCACTTAAAGGAGTTAAAGGTGAACAATTAGTGATTATCATTTCTGTTGAATGTTGCCACTATCTTTTAAAGTTTGGGTTGGCTTATATGCAGGGTTTCTTTGCTTTAGCATTTTTACATGCTCAGATAAGAAAATGCTACTTTGCACTGAAGTATCTTCCTCATTCTAATGTTATGTATGGGTCCTTGTTTTGTTAGTTACAAGCCCCACCGTTTGGTTTGGTTTTTTGTTTTGTTTTGTTTTTTCGGTTTTTTTACAGCTTTCATGTAGGGTAGATGAACGGAGGTGTCTAGTGTAATTCTGGTTCTTTCCCCTAGAATTAAATTATTAAAATAGTATACATTAGAAGGGATGGTAATAGACCCTTTGTGGGTTGGGAGGTGTGTAGCTTCAGTCTTCTTCAAACTGTATTGATCAGTGGAGGGGGGGAGAGGTAGAATATGTCAGAATTGCCTAAAGCAAATGTATGCTGAACTGTAGCATGATTTTGACTCTATAGTCACAACTGCTTGGTTCCCATTCTGTAGGTAGGTGGGTGAGCTTTCCACTTAACTCTCCTTTGCAGTTGATGGAGCATGAGTCTCGATTCTCTTGTGTTTTAGGAGCTGAATGCAGTGGAATTAAGTACCATAACCTGTGGAGGGTTTCATTGCTCCCTCAGAACAGGTGCTAAATTTCCAAAGTGCGAGGTAGTGTAGAGATTTGGACTTAAGCCTCTCATATGTGAATTAATCTGCTCAGGACAACTGAAATGTAGTATTCCAAGCCTGGAAAACAGTTACATACAGAAATGACTTTCTTAAAAAAGATAGTAATTTTATTTAAATTTCCTATGAAAAACATCATACTTTAGGATAAAATCTATGATAATTCCATGTTACTGTTTACTTCTGATGACTGTTGCTTTTTATTTATTTTCAGTTGCTTTGCAGTTGTTTTTTTTTCTAACCTGAACCATACTTAATAACTTCCGGTGTGAAAATCATTGAATAGTTTTGTGGAAATACCATTTCATCAGAGTAAATAATGACCAAA